AGGTTCCCGGCCCCAGCTGGACAAAGTCTGAAGCGATACATGCCCCTGCCATGACAGGCATCATGCACCTAAAGGCTCCTGCAGCCCTTTTGGGGGCTCCCAGTTCTTATCCATTTTGGGAAGTGGACAGGCGCTCATGATGGCGGACGCCGGATGGCAGGCACGTCCCTTCAACGGACTGCACCGGGCAGAGTTTGGGAATCAGGGCTTTGGGCTTACTTCGAGGGCTTCGGGGTTAGGGAAGTCACCCCTGCTCAAGTGGCGAAGCTGGTCTAAAGGTGCTTTAAAGGGATGGACCAAAGCAGGGTACCTACCTTATGCTTAATTTGGGGACAGGCACCTTGAACAACCCATCACAGGCATCGCGGGCCGGGACCCGGGATGAATGACCGAAAACAGCCTTGCGCGTGGCGCCGGCGCGCCGCGTTGGGTTCAAAACCCTGAACTCTAAGGCCCCAAGGCCTACGCCCCAAGGCCTATAGCCTTTAGCCCCATGGCCTGGAAGCCCTAACCCCTAAGCCCCAAGCTCAGCCCCAAGCCCTCAACCAATACGAGCTTTGGTCCAGGTTGAGGAGCATCAGAGGTGCACCAGACAGGCCCAAGGGCGGGCAGGGCGGGGCTCAGCGCTGGTATCATCTTGTGGCTCAAGCGGCAAAGCAGTTGCGAGGCTACTCATCCAGCGGCAGGCCTGCTTGCAATCGCTACGGGCACTTCGATGGAGCACTGCCCCAGCAACATCCCTTCGGCCTATAAAGCCCTAAACCCTAAGCGCCTAAACCCTCAACCCCAAGCCCTAAGCCCGAAGCTCTAAGCCCTAAGCCCTGAACCCGGCTAGGAGCGGAGTACGGACTTACGGAGGACGGAGCGACGCAGTGCGGAGCAACGGCTCGGAGCGGTGTTGCGGACGCCGTTTCCATGCGCAAGAACGCTCCCCAAGCAGCCCTTGGAGGGCGTGAAGGGGCTACCCCGGATGCTCCCATGGTTGCTGGTTTGGCGGGGTGCCGTTTTTAGGGTTTCGGATTTAGATGGTTTAGGGTTTTGGGGTGTTAAGTTCAGGGATTAGGGGTTGTGTATCAACGCCGTACCTCATCCTGTGCGGGGCTCTTCCTGCAATGCCAGGCTCTCTTGGATGTGTAGTGCCGCCAAGCAGATCGGCAAGACTCACTCTGAGCAAGGTATAGGCGAGTTGCACAGGAAACTGGAGCGTTGGCACTCTGGGGAGGCTCGATGCCTTTTTTGTGCACATGCCTCGGTCGCAAATGCAACTCAACCTATGGTCTGTGCATGGATGCAAGGGAGAGGATGTGGAATCTGAAATCGAAGCTGCCATGACCATCACGCCTTGCCTCGGCCCCACTGTCTAGCCATGTAGAAAATGGTTTCAGGCCGCTTGGAACCTGACAGAAGATGGCCCGTGCTCCGGATTTTCTAGAACTCCGCGGCGGCGCAGTATCCTCGCTGCATCGAGCTCCCCGAAGTCACTTGAGCATCGACGTCAGTACTCCATGAAACCGGGTGCATCGCAACATCAGCAACTAAATCCATGGACCTAGTCACCACCTGCTTCCGAGGCTGGCGCAAGACTGACACCGACCCTTGTGACAACTGGATGCGTCAAGAGAGGGGCTTTGCACGTGCGGGCGGATTGGATAGGACAGCACGGGGCTTGCAGCATGGGTCATGGCAGCTCGTGGCCAGTCTGCTTGCGGATGCCACTGCGCATCCAAGAGACGCAACACCCCTGCAGTAGACTTCCATCGAAGGCCGAATGCAGCATTGCAACAAAGTTTGGACCACGAAGAGACAACGTGCAGAGTGCGGCGTGGCAAGAAGCTGCTTGCACGCAATTCAGGTTGCAACAACCCTGGTCGAGTAGCAGGCCGCTGACCCAACAAAACGGCCATCGTGCCGAATGCTAGGCGAGGAGCCCAGCGCATGTGCAAAAGCCACCGTGGCCGAGGCACGAAACGGCGATGGTCTAGACAGGTCACTTGAGAATCGAAGTCGGTACTCCATGAAACTGGATGCGTAACCAAAGGCGCTTGGCACACGCTGGCGGATTGGACAGGACAGCAAGCGGTTTGCAGGACGGGTACCTTCAATTTGGCTATGGTGAATCGTGGCCAGTCTGCTTGCGGATGCCACTGCGCATCCAAGAGACGCAACACCCCTGCAGTAGACTTCCATCGAAGGCCGAATGCAGCATTGCAACAAAGTTTGGACCACGAAGAGACAACGTGCAGAGTGCGGCGTGGCAAGAAGCTGCTTGCACGCAATTCAGGTTGCAACAACCCTGGTCGAGTAGCAGGCCGCTGACCCAACAAAACGGCCATCGTGCCGAATGCTAGGCGAGGAGCCCAGCGCATGTGCAAAAGCCACCGTGGCCGAGGCACGAAACGGCGATGGTCTAGACAGGTCACTTGAGAATCGAAGTCGGTACTCCATGAAACTGGATGCGTAACCAAAGGCGCTTGGCACACGCTGGCAGATTGGATAGGACAGCAAGCGGTCTGCAGGACGGGTACCTTCCATTTGTCTACTTCACTTCGAAACTACTCTTCCTTATTAGGGAGTGCAACGCGAACTCGTACCAACGACCCTAAACCTTAAAACCTAAGAGTGGAAGAGTAGAGCAACGGAGCAACATCGATGCAGCGTGCACGAGGCACTCCCACACTACACATCAGCATCCATCGAAGCCGACTTCTGTGGCAGCGGGAAAACAGGAGCTGGAAAGCTTCGGAGCTGTGCTGGTCGCTATCATCGCTCTCCCAGCTTCGAAATTAGCTTGCGTGTGCCGCAAGCTGCTGGCACCATCTTCGGTCCGGACACGGAGATGCTGGTGTCGTGGCTACATGGAGCTCAGCGTCTCAGCGTAAGCCTCTGCGTGGACGTACCTCTGTTGAGGTCCGCCTACACGGCCGCTGGAAACGGTATGCCCGAAATCTCAGCTGGGAATGGCCTCACCGTTACCCTGTCGGGCTGGGATTCCAATGCCACAGCTCATGCACAGTTTCAGCTTTGAGCATGATGCTGCAAGAGCTGACTTGAAACGGTTTTGGCACCCAACGCAGCCGTGGACCTGGGATCTACCACCCAGGCCAAGCAAAGCGCATGCGCGCAATCCCTGCGCTGTGCTGTCGGCCTGCCTTGAGGCACAACAACACTGCAGGATTCGCAAAGCAAGGCTTTGCTTGCCATCGGCTGCAAGGGGCACCATCGAAAGAGGCCTGGGACAGCGGAGCCTCTTCGAACTTGGGGAGTGCCTTGGAGTCCATTCTTGTCGAGTCAGGGTGTGGCTAGCGATTGTCGTGAGGCCTCTTCTTTCGCCCCCGAGCTGGACTAAGACAGCTGAGGTGTCGCATCGACTTGCAGGGCCTACTGCCTACAGACAGGCTGGTGGCCGCAGATGCTTGTGACAGAAGCACACTCACACGGACAGCCACATTCGGAGAATTGCAGCTGGCCTCGGGAGTTGGAGTGACTCTTATGGCACTGCCTTCGACTTCGGCAAGTTGGGATGATTTCCCGGAACCCCGGAGCATCTTGCGCTGTGTTGGTGCGACGCCAAGTCCGCGGGCCACACGCACGTCCCCTCTCCGTGAGCACAAGGAATTACAAGTCACGATACTCGCAGCGGAGAATGCGAAAAGCTATTTGCGTTCGGCCCTTTGCTGGGAGAATCTTGACAGGGTTCTCACATGTGCGGCATGCTGCCCAGGGCAGCACTGGAAGGAGAGCAGCAGCCTGACAATCCATCACGATTGTGCTCTTACGATGAACATGGTCATTATTGTCTGATGTGTCTCACAGCCGTCCACGAGTCTGTGCTGCACTGGGCTCCAAAGGATAAGAATACCTCTTCGAATGACGACTTGGGAGAAGACTTGGACCTACAGTCTTTGCACCCTCAGCAGTGACCCAATCCTAAACTCATGTCGTTCCTCGCCTGGCATGAGGTATCACAAAATATGGCAAAAAAAGGTCTTCAGCCTGTTCAAGAAGCTCAAATCCCCAGGCGCCTCCTCCGCAGCAGCAAGCCCGTGATGGCCCAGGGGCCCAAAGGCTTGCTAGGCGGTCGAGCAAGTTGCTGATGCAACGCCATCCAAGTCTACTTGCTAGGGAGAATGCTCTGTTTGCACTGTATGGTCGGCATCACCTATATCAACTACCACCGCAACGTCTCTGGCACACCATACCCTCCCACAATGTTCTTTGACAATGTTTGCATGACACATGAACTTCGTGTTGTGCCCCTCCCCTAAGGTCCTGCGCTTGCAAGGGTTGAGGGTTTAGGGTTTAGGTTTAGGGCTTAAGGTTTTGTGACTCAATTTCTGATTGACAGCCAACCCTGTCCAATGCTTGAGCACAGAATCCCTGGGCGAACAATGGTCTTGGATAGCATCAAGCCCATCTCGAAAAACATGTCTGCATGTTCAACCTGCATCTTCTTTAGCAAAAAACCGCCATGCCTTTAAAGAAATTGCGGTGATGCATGCACATCCTCCCAAGTCCCCACGACATGCATACATGCATACATGCATACATGCATACATGCATACATGCATACATGCATACATGCATACATGCATACATGCATACATGCATACATGCATACATGCATAACTTCTACCGAGTCTCCAACGCAGGTTCTCGGAACCCAGAAGCTCAAAGAGACCCTGGACTCGACCCAAAACTTGTGAACCACCTAAGGTGGAGGGCTAAGCATCACATGAATATCAGGGTGGCACTGCAGCACCGGTCAGAACTCCTTGTAGAACGGACGCAATGTCCGAAGTCGCTTGAATTATGGGTCAGCTGTGGTTGGTACACAGCCCGATGAGAGAGACTTTGAAAGAGAACTCGCGTGAAGCTCGTTGATTCGAAGGACGTGGATCTCAGGGTTATCGCTTTCATGACAGATAACCTGCCTTCTGGGCCTTTGCACGTTGTGACCCACTGTCTGTGCGTCGGCACAGAACTGAACACTTTGCCCAAACTCAGACATCGCTGCCTTCGTACACAGAGTCCTCCGCAGCTGCATGTCATGTCTGGGTCCTGTATACTATGTACAACATCACAACCTGCAACTCTGCATATTCTTGCAGCTTTCTTAGAACAGCTTTCGAGAACTCCAACAAATCATACTACTTACTACTTGAAGCATGAAGAGGTCCGAGATTGTGTTCCAACCCTCATGCAGCTGCTGCTACAGCCACCTCCAAGCATCCAACCACGCATCCCACAAGCAAACCAACATAAGCATCGGGAGCTTGATTCACTCCGGTAACTACAACGGTCAAGAGTGAGTACAGACCTGCAGCGGCTACGACATGCGAGCATGCTGTCTGCAGTGTACTACAGCAGTACGGCATGCTACAGCATTCTTCAGTATGCCAGAGTATGCTTGGTACCATATAGTATTACGTGAATCCCTCCGCCTGACCTGGTCAAGCGGAATCGGGGTGTGAACCTCAAGGACAGGGGGACCTCGGTCTGGCAACCAACCCTCAGAGCCCTCGCGCTACCAGCGGCTCATTCAATCTTGCAAAATAACTCGTTGCACAAGGCAGCTTGCATATCTTGCATCCACGTACTGCAGAAGTCAAGGGAAAGCTACGAACTCTTCTTCGTGCGCCTCGCGGGCAACTTGCTCTACACACAGCTTGCGGTAGTTCGGGAGTTTTTCATATCGAGGGCCCGCCTAGTGTAGGGCACTCGCCCTGACTGGCCAACTACCTTCGCAGATGTGTAGTGCCCAAAATAGGGGGCGCCCCCTTGTATACCCCAAATAGAATAGAATCCCCCTGAAAACAATACCCCCTATTTCCGGAAACCCGGAAATCTCCCATCTGCTCGACCAAAGGCACCGTCATCGTCCGGCTCGGGGACTGCGCCTGCTAGAACCCTCCAGGAGATAGGGTTTGGGGCTTTGGGAGGATCACTTCCTCCAACGCAAGAGTAAACCTCCCTCTCTTCAAGAACTCAGAACAACTGTGTAGAACACCACGAACAGTCGTAATAAAGCGTCCAGAAACGGACCTCCAAATAGCAGAGACTTGCCAAAAGCAAAAGAAGCTTAGACCTTCCCGAAGGATCCTTTATGCAGTTTAGGGAAGACTCCTGCACAGAGCCTGGGCATATCTGCCACGATGGGTCGTGGCGCGCAGCATCCCCCGGCCCAAGGCTGGTCGGCCGCTCTGAGCCCTTGGGATTGCAGAGGGTTTTAACTTTTCCTTGTTTATTTATAGTTGTTGATGTTTTGTGTTTTTTCTTTTTTGGTTTGGGGGGGGGTTAGGGTTTAGGGTACGGGGTGATTCTTGGGCTTTGCGTTTTCTTGGGGGGAGGTGAGTCTTTTTTTGCGATGTTTTCGAGTTTTTGGAGGGTCAATATCCTTTGTTTTGTTCTGGGAAAGCCTCTCTTCCCTCTATATTTCAGTAGGCTTCCTATGCATTTTCTCATAGGACTTTTTTTCATTCTACTACGGCCCCTATCATTTCGAATCGAACCCTTAAGCATTTTACAAGGATTCTTCCTGATTTAAAAAGGATTGTCACAGGTTCCTTTTAATTGAACCAAATCCTATTAGTTCGAATGGAGTTTTTGATTTGAACAGGACTCTTCTCAATTTTCATAGGATTTCTATGTACTACCACAATGCTCGCATGATGGGCTTTGGCAAGGGTTCATCAGGTTCTGGCTAGCTTTGCAAGCGTCTTGGGGGGGTCCGGGTAGCCACCCCCATTTGCTAACACAATGCTGGTACGACCGTCAAGGATCCAAACAAAGCGGGGGTGGGGGGACGGGTTTGGAAATGATTGCTCTGCTTCTGGGTGCTGGCGGGGTGCAGACCCCCCCCTTTGGTTGCAAACACAAGGCCTGCTTGGAAAGGAGTCCTATGTTTCCCATGCAAGTTCTCTTCTGGGCATGAACGAACCCTCCAGTGGCAAACACAATGCTAGTAGGACGGGTGTGGAAAGGATTCCTACGCTTCTCATGCAAGCTGCAAGTTCTCTTGCCAGTTGCAGACACAGTGCTCGTTGGAAAGGATTCCGATGCTATTCAGGCAGGTTCCATCTGGGCATAAAGTTTTAAAACAGCGACGGGGCTTGGGGTGGGGGGGGTTCCAAAAAAGCGCAGCCCTCCCCCGCCCCCTGCCAACACAATGCCCGCACGGGTTTGCAAAGGACTCCTATGCGTTTTATGCAAGTTCTCTTCTGGACAAGAATCAGGAAAAGCCCCCCGCCCCCCCCCCCCCCAGTTCCAAAACAAAAATTCTCGCAGTACGGGTTTGGAGAAAGGATGATTTCTCTGTTTTTTGTGTCCTTTCTTTTTGTCTTTCCTTCCTACTTTCTTTCTTTCTTTCGGTGTTTCTTTCTTTCGTTCTTGATGTCTTTCTTTATTTCTTGTTTTCGGTTTCTTTCTTTATTTCTTGTTTTCGGTTTCTTTCTTTCCTTCTTTCTTTCTTTCGTCTCTGTTTCGGTCATTCCTTTGTTTCTTTCTCGCCCTAATCCTCTTTCTTCGAGAAAGTAAAAGTTTTCCTAGTAGAAACATTGAGAAAATAGAGGATTTCCTCCTAAAATACAGTAAAGATTTCCTCCCCGCCCCAAAACCCCAACACCAAAAACAAACATCGCGAAAAAAACAGGCCCTCCTTTTCTAGGCCTACATAGGTGGCCTGGTGAACTGAAGTTCCATCCTGCCCAAAGGGACCACACTATTCACGAGCTCTTCGAATTTGACCAGAAGTGCAGCTCTAGTCAAGCCAGTGCAAAGACTTCAGAAGTGCCTCGGCCGGGTCGACCACGATCGCAATGCGGACCTCGCCGATGGAGGAGCCTCGATTGTGCAGCACACAGCCTTAAACTGCCAGCCTCCTACTCATAGATCAGAGTGAGACACCATAGCCAGCCGCAAGGCTAAACACATGCCCACACCTTGCTATTCACAAGATTGGAACCTTCCCTGTTCTAACCCTTCCAGCCCATCATTGTCACACCTGCTAGGGTATCTGATTGAAATCATTTACCAGGCACCCCTTGATTTTGCACTTTTTGGCCTGACATGGGTACCCCCCCTAGCCGACAAGTGGACCAGAGACCACTTCAGCCTGACATAGGGGCCACCCCCCCTACTCCCACCCCCGCTGCCCCCCCCCTCTTGCCTGGAGGAGCCTGCCTAGGCCTCCCAACCCCACCTGCACAGCCCTGGTTTGCTCAGGCCGAGGCGGGTCGCGTAGCGTTTAAATTATATCATGAAGGCAGTACACACAACTGTCCTTGCACTTGCCGATGAACCTCAAGTAGGGATTCGGCTTTAACTTCAGAAAGGCCCCCGCCGCTAAGCCTGGCACCTGGCAGGTTGGCGGCTTCCGCGTGCTGAAACACGGCCTCCAATTGGACGAACTGACTGAAAACAATGTGACTATTCAAGCGACAGGGGAAACCGTGCGACGGCGGGCAGCCTCCCCAATGCTCAACAACAAGCTCGCGAAGAAAATCGAGCCCGTCGACACTCTCCGTGGGCATTCATGCACGTTAGAGATAGCAGGGCCAGGTCTTGTGTGCCTCCTCAGCACTGCATTTGTTGTTCTCTACTTCACGAAATTCCCGTAGAGGTGGGGCTGCGGCTCTTCTGAACAAGATCGCGCACGCAAGCCCGTGCCTGCTACTGCTTAGCACCCCGCCTCCAGGTCCACCCACTCCACTCCCTCAGGCAGCATATGGCCGAGAGTCCACTGTGAGGTGGCGGGCTCGCCGGTTTGCGCGGTGCTCGGCAGCTCCTCCAAGTCCCCCGACATCAAGTATCAAGTACTTGGAATCAGGCAGGACATCCCCGTTGCTCATGCCCTACATCTGTGCTTATGTGGCTCGGTGCTCCCCTGCAATGGGGCGGTGTGGCCCCCGTTTTCTGGCCGACATGGCCTACAGCAAGGTCCAGGAAAGATCGGTCGGCTGGTGCTCACACAGCCATCGGGTCTCGCCGGTTCATGTCTTTACTGGAAACATACAGTGTCAACCTTCGATGAATGAAGTGTGTGTTCTTTTCGGTCGTGACGTTCCTTCAGGAGAAAAAGAAAAAAACATAGCCCAACAAACACAAGCTCTCCCCCCCCCCCCCCCAAAGATGCCATACAGCAGACAGTTGGTCCAGCAACATCTACGCAACTACAATGGGTCGGTGCAGACCTGTTCCACACCAGGTTTACGATGGCCCACATGCACGCATGCACGGACGGTTGAGCTCGGTCAGTGTAACCCCCCCCCCCCCTCCCTACAGAGATCACTAGGGTTAGGGTTAAGGGATGGCAGGATGGAGGATCATTCCTCCAAGTCCGGGATGGTCAGGTGCTGCAGAGCACCTTCCACGCTTCGCAGTTGCGCCGACTCCGGAAGCTTCTCTTCGAGCGCCGTCTTCGCTGCGGGGATGGGTGCAGCCGACCGGGCTTCACAAGGAGCAGGAAGTTGGAGAGCGTCTTCAGTGGGATCTACTGTCGGCATAGCAGCGCCAGCATTTGCCGCCTCCCGAGCGATGCCAGAAACACATTGCCTGCATCTTCTCCTACGCCCTATGCATCTACATGACTTGATCTCAACGCAGGGTCCGAGCTGCCTCCCGCTGAACAATCGATTCCGGTTCTGTTGGGCGTTCCTCTGCAGCAACGTCGCCTGAAAGCACCGGTATCACACATCTTGGAAATGAGCCCCTACTGAAGTCTTGGATGTTGCAAATGCTTGCTGCCACATTATGCCAAAAAGCATGGAAGGCTGTTTGCAAGAACACGGTTCGTAAACACATCACGCAACTTCGACGTAAGCAGTCTAAGGCTGACCCAGCTGCGGTTTGTACGTGCTCATAGTTAGTGTAGCATGGAGTCTGCTAGAATCCTCCACACGACATGAATATGTGAAATGAATACGTGGATCCAGAACAAACGCTGCTATCAGGCTATAAGTCAGTCTGAACAGGCTATCAACGAGACTCCTCAAAACCTCAGAAAGTTTTGGGGTCCCCTGAAACCCTAAACCCTAAACCCTAAACCCTAAACCCTAGATTCGGTGACTGGAGTGGCCTGGAGTGGCCTTCATGTCTTTTGGGACAGGCAGCGACTCAAAATAGAGCCGAAGCGACTTGAAGAGGCCTTGGCCAAGCAGGGCGTTTTAGGGAGGATTCTAGGTTTAAGGTTTTTTGGGGGGCTTAGGGTTTAGGGGTTTAGGGCTTAGGGCTTAGGGTTCAGGGTTCAGGGTTCAGGGTTGAGGGTTTAGGGTTGAGGGTTCAGGGTTTAGGGTTTAGGGTTGAGGGTTCAGGGTTTTGGGGGCTTAAGGTGAATGGACCCGCAGCAGGGCATCACAAGCGGATAACACGGAAGAACCCCCTATGCAGGATAAGGCCCTGGAAGCCGCTTCTCGGTGCAAGGCAGGAACCGCATTCACAAGGTTTATGCGCATACGCATACACATCTCCACCATCCCAACTCACAGGTATGGAGCAGGGCAGGCAAAGATTTGGGCAGGCCCCAGACCGATGCTATAAGCCGGGCTGCCACAATGCAAGCCGTGCGGGAGAAAACTATCACAACGGATCGGAATCCCGATACTTGCAGAGATCCCTAGAGCAGGGGCATAGCGAGGTTTGAGGTTTCAGCTGGGCTGGTACAGATTCAGCCAACGGGGCAGAGCTGGGCCCTAAACTAAGGCCGTGCATGTCCCAGCCTGTGACCCTGTAATCTGCTGCGCAAACCGAACAATGAAACCGGGCAACCGGATAGAAAACTCAAAGCTACGACCGGAAATCACCAAGCAGAGCAGCAAGACAATACAGCTGAGGCTGGGTCGCTCTGGGTCTTCCGCAGCGGCTTCAATCTCCGCAGGTTTCATGCACTGCAGGACGGTCTCCATGTCCGTCCACGTAACCCCTTCTGGCAGCTTGTGCGCCAGGCTGCTTCGAATCTGCGATATTCCCCATTTCGTGGCCAAGGACCCACCCTTCTTTGCGAGTGAGTGCCAGACTTCTTCGTTGTCGCTTTCAGCCAGATGCGCCATGTCTTCTAGGCTGCAATGCTGCAGGGTTTCTTCTACCTGGGCACAAAGCAAACGCAAGCAACATGAAACAACTGCACAGTGCCTCGTCGCTCTGTTTCATTGCAGGCCAGCGACGTCTTCCCACTTGATGCTGCCAGGCAGGTCCAGCTTTGATTTGAGCTGCACCAGGCACCACTTTGTGGCAGCACCACCTGGCCAAGGACTCGAAATCCAGCCCCTGAACCCCGGAACTCATGTGGCGCCACCCGCGGCAGCACATGTTGCTTCAAGATAACACGGCTAAGCTGCCAAGTCGTTCATAAATCCATTTTGCAGTTCCACTCAGTTTCTCACAGCCCCGTGTTCCCGCCTGTCTTCTCACAAAGCGATGAGAAGAAACCTCGTCGCAACAGCGAAACTACGAGTAATGTCTGGCAGAGGACTGAAAGAAAAGGCAACACATCTCAAAGGAACACAGCTGAGAGTGGCACGCTCTGGGGTGATTTGGGCGGCGGCTTCAATCTCCGCAGGTTTCATGCACTGCAGGACGGTCTCCATGTCCGTCCACGAAACCCCTTCTGGCAGCTTGTGCGCCAGGCTGCTTCGAATCTGCGATATTCCCCATTTCGTGGCCAAGGACCCAGCCTTCTTTGCGAGTGAGTGCCAGACTTCTTCGGGGTCGCTTTCAGCCAGATGCGCCATGTCTTCAAGGCTGCAATGCTGCAGGGTTTCTTCTACCTGAACACAAAGCAAACGCAAACACAACATGAAACAACTGCACAGTGCCTCGTCGCTATGTTTCATTGCAGGCCAGCGACGTCTTCCCACTTGATGCTGCCAGGCAGGTCCAGCTTTGATTTGAGCTGCACCAGGCACCACTTTGTGGCAGCACCACCTGGCCAAGGATTCGAAATCCAGCCCCTGAACCCCGGAACTCATGTGGCGCCACCCGCGGCAGCACATGTTGCTTCAAGATAACACGGCTAAGCTGCCAAGTCGTTCACAAATCCATTTTGCAGTTCCACTCAGTTTCTCACAGCCCCGTGTTCCCGCCTGTCTTCTCACAAAGCGATGAGAAGAAGCCTCGTCGCAACGGCGAAACTACGAATGATTTCTGGCAGCCGACTTGAAAGGAAAGGCAACACATCACAAAGGAACACAGCTGAGAGTGGCACGCTCTGGTGTGTTTTTGGCGGCTTCAATCTCCGCAGGATTCATGCACTGCAGGACGGTCTCCATGTCCGTCCACGAAACCCCTTCCGGCAGCTTGTGCGCCAGGCTGCTTCGAATCTGCGATATTCCCCATTTCGTGGCCAAGGACCCACCCTTCTTTGCGAGTGAGTGCCAGACTTCTTCGTTGTCGCTTTCAGCCAGATGCGCCATGTCTTCTAGGCTGCAATGCTGCAGGGTTTCTTCTACCTGGGCACAAAGCAAACGCAAGCAACATGAAACAACTGTACAGTGCCTCGTCGCTCTGTTTCATTGCAGGCCAGCGACGTCTTCCCACTTGATGCTGCCAGGCAGGTCCAGCTTTGATTTGAGCTGCACCAGGCACCACTTTGTGGCAGCACCACCTGGCCAAGGACTCGAAATCCAGCCCCTGAACCCCGGAACTCATGTGGCGCCACCCGCGGCAGCACATGTTGCTTCAAGATAACACGGCTAAGCTGCCAAGTCGTTCATAAATCCATTTTGCAGTTCCACTCAGTTTCTCACAGCCCCGTGTTCCCGCCTGTCTTCTCACAAAGCGATGAGAAGAAACCTCGTCGCAACAGCGAAACTACGAGTAATGTCTGGCAGAGGACTGAAAGAAAAGGCAACACATCTCAAAGGAACACAGCTGAGAGTGGCACGCTCTGGGGTGATTTGGGCGGCGGCTTCAATCTCCGCAGGTTTCATGCACTGCAGGACGGTCTCCATGTCCGTCCACGAAACCCCTTCCGGCAGCTTGTGCGCCAGGCTGCTTCGAATCTGCGATATTCCCCATTTCGTGGCCAAGGACCCACCCTTCTTTGCGAGTGAGTGCCAGACTTCTTCGGGGTCGCTTTCAGCCAGATGCGCCATGTCTTCAAGGCTGCAATGCTGCAGGGTTTCTTCTACCTGAACACAAAGCAAACGCAAACACAACATGAAACAACTGCACAGTGCCTCGTCGCTATGTTTCATTGCAGGCCAGCGACGTCTTCCCACTTGATGCTGCCAGGCAGGTCCAGCTTTGATTTGAGCTGCACCAGGCACCACTTTGTGGCAGCACCACCTGGCCAAGGACTCGAAATCCAGCCCCTGAACCCCGGAACTCATGTGGCGCCACCCGCGGCAGCACATGTTGCTTCAAGATAACACGGCTAAGCTGCCAAGTCGTTCATAAATCCATTTTGCAGTTCCACTCAGTTTCTCACAGCCCCGTGTTCCCGCCTGTCTTCTCACAAAGCGATGAGAAGAAGCCTCGTCGCAACGGCGAAACTACGAATGATTTCTGGCAGCCGACTTGAAAGAAAAGGCAACACATCTCAAAGGAACACAGCTGAGAGTGGCACGCTCCGGGGTGATTTGGGCGGCGGCTTCAATCTCCGCAGGTTTCATGCACTGCAGGACGGTCTCCATGTCCGTCCACGAAACCCCTTCTGGCAGCTTGTGCGCCAGGCTGCTTCGAATCTGCGATATTCCCCATTTCGTGGCCAAGGACCCACCCTTCTTTGCGAGTGAGTGCCAGACTTCTTCGGGGTCGCTTTCAGCCAGATGCGCCATGTCTTCAAGGCTGCAATGCTGCAGGGTTTCTTCTACCTGAACACAAAGCAAACGCAAACACAACATGAAACAACTGCACAGTGCCTCGTCGCTATGTTTCATTGCAGGCCAGCGACGTCTTCCCACTTGATGCTGCCAGGCAGGTCCAGCTTTGATTTGAGCTGCACCAGGCACCACTTTGTGGCAGCACCACCTGGCCAAGGACTCGAAATCCAGCCCCTGAACCCCGGAACTCATGTGGCGCCACCCGCGGCAGCACATGTTGCTTCAAGATAACACGGCTAAGCTGCCAAGTCGTTCATAAATACATTTTTCAGTTCCACTCAGTTTCTCACAGCCCCGTGTTCCCGCCTGTCTTCTCACAAAGCGATGAGAAGAAGCCTCGTCGCAACGGCGAAACTACGAATGATTTCTGGCAGCCGACTTGAAAGGAAAGGCAACACATCACAAAGGAACACAGCTGAGAGTGGCACTCTCTGGGGTGCTTTGGGCGGCGGCTTCAATCTCCGCAGGTTTCATGCACTGCAGGACGGTCTCCATGTCCGTCCACGAAACCCCTTCTGGCAGCTCGTGCTCCAGGCTGCTTCGAATCTGCGATATTCCCCACTTCTTGGCCAAGGACCCACCCTTCTCCACAAGTGAGCGCCAGAATTCTTCGGGGTCTGGCTTTTCGGCCAGATGTGCCAGATCCGCTACACTCAAATGCTTCGAAAACTTCGATGCAAATGCGTGGCGGGCGGTAAGCCTGTTCAACAGGGCAGCGGGGTCGCTAAGAACACTGCGCAAGTCCTCCAACTTCGCGGCAGCCAAATGCTGTGCGACCTGGCAATGGCGTACACTCAGTTTTTCAAACAGGACAGCTGCCACATGATGGTCTGTCCGCTGTCCATCAAAATCGACAAGCAGCATCTTCCCAAGTAATCCCATGAGGCAGATGTGGCTCCAGAACAGGCTTGAGCTGCGCCAGGCACCATTTTGTGGCAACGCCGCCTGAGAAGCATGGCAGGATCCGTGCCATTTTGGCCACCCAACATGAGGCGAACTTCTGAAGTGTCTCTGACAACCCCGAAACCACCTAAACCCAAACAGCCTTCGGTCCCGCCTGGCTTCTCAACCAGCTCAGTCAGGAACCCTGAGCATGAGCTGCACGCACTTGAATAAACATTTAGACTGCCAGTTGGTTCTCAGGCGACAGAAACATCAGAAACCCAGCACTGGGCCCGGCGCGGTGTGGGTCACTTGCGGAAGCTTCGATGTCCGCCAGCTCCATGTCCTGAAGGACCGCCTCCATGTCCGACCACACCACGCCAACCGGCAGCAGCGGCTCCACTGTGCTTCGAATCTGCGCCATGCCCCACTTCACTGCGATGGGCCCGGCCCCCTTTATGAGCGACTGCAGTGACTCAAGCGGATCTGGGTCGTCGGCCAACGACTTCAAGTCTGCCATGCTCAACGCCTGCAACGCCATTCGGACATCCGCCCACTGCACCTGCTCCGGAAGCCACTCTTCAAGACGTGGCTGCAAGTTCGCCACCGCAAACTTGACGGCAAAGGCTTCGTGCGAGGCGAGCTTGCTCAACAGGGCTTCGGGCTCAAGGGCAGCACGTAGATCCTCCAGCTGCATGCAGGCCGTCAGATGCGTCGCGACCTGCCAGCGATGCTCTCTCGTACTTGGCACTGCTAGTCAGCCTGCGCCCCATGCTCATTCATCAATGCTTCATCAAGCTGAGCAGCCTCGCCCCATGCAAGGCCATCGGGAAGCTTGGGCTTCAGCTTCACCAGGCACCACGCCACTGCTGAACGGCCTGCCCACAACGAGCTGCTTCTCCCACACTCAAAAACATGTCGGCTCGCTGGGGTTTCAGCGACTCTTGCTGTGCAAGCTCCAAAGCTCATGCCCCGGCGCTTGCTTCCTGAGGCTTCCTTGAGCACGCACCGAGGCTCTGAACGGCCTGCTTGAGCTGGCAGACCTCCCTCCGTTCATGTCTTCACGAAAGGTTTCAAGAAGGGTGCATCCCAGGAGGTTGGAGAAATTTGCACAATTAGCGGCTCAATGCTGCTGCGGATGTCATGCCTTGGCCGAAGAGCCTACGGTTGTTCTTGCACTCAAACGATTCTCGGCAACTGCTAACGCACATCGGATATACCTCTCGCCCGAGTGAGGGCTCTCGGCCAACAGTTTCAGCATGTGTCATCTCGTCGTCTGCGAAGCCTGCTGCCTTTGTTGGGGACTTTGCGGCTGAATGGCTTCGCACAGTTTGAGAAAAGTGGAAGCTCTCACACGGCAGAGTATCGGACAGTCCTGTAGAGCATACAATGCCACAATGATAGCGAATTGTTTCTATACTATCACCTGGATCATCTGTCTCGCCGCTTGCAGCTTGTGTCCATACTTGGCCTAAATATGAAAACCGCATTCCGGTAGTTGCCCCCCTGAGGCTCCATGAGCCTCCATGGCCTTCACCCTGCTGAGCCTCCCTGGAGTGCTCGTATGTTGTCATGAATGCTTCACTACAAGTACCTGATGTCTGCCTGTGGCCGCTCCGCCCTGAAAAATCTGACAACCCCACTTCGTCGGCTGGGGAACCATATGACGCAGACCCTGAAGAGCTTCATGCTCAGAGGACATCCTGCGCGCTCAGGCATCCTTGGTTTGGTTTTCCTGATGCCTCTTTACTCTTGCCTGCCTGGTTGCAGACAGCTTGCCCAAAGCTACCACCACCCACTCACCCTCCCATTCCCGACTCGTCATCCCACGACTTGCTCAAGTTGCCTCCTGCGTTGGCTAGGGATGCCAGGAAACCTGAGCTGCTTCTCAACGCGTGTGGAGTATATGCATGTCAAGAAGAAGCGCAAAGGAGCTTCTCGACTGGGCCCGGCGCGGTGTGGGTCACTTGCGGAAGCTTCGATGTCCGCCAGCTCCATGTCCTGAAGGACCGCCTCCATGTCCGACCACACCACGCCAACCGGCAGCAGTGGCTCCACGGTGCTTCGAATCTGCGCCATGCCCCACTTCACTGCGATGGGCCCGGCCCCCTTTACGAGCGACTGCAGCGACTCAAGCGGATCTGGGTCGTCGGCCAGTGACTTCAAGTCTGCCATGCTCAACGCCTGCAAAGCCATTCGGACATCTGCCCACAGCACCTGCTCCGGAAGCCACTCTTCAAGACGTGGCTGCAAGTTCGCCACCGCAAACTTGACGGCAAAGGCTTCGTGCGAGGCGAGCAGGCTCAACAGGGCATCGGGCCGGTCGAGGGCAGCACGTAGATCCTCCAGCTGCATGGCCGTCAGGTGTGTCGCGACCTGCCAGCGATGCTCTCTCGCACTTGGCACTGCTAGACAGTCTGCGCCCCCTGTTCATTCGTTCAGTGCGGCGGTTCTCTGGGACTAGGTTTTCTTCAATGTCTGCGATTATTTCATCAGCTGAGCGGCCTCGCCCCACGCAATGTCATCGGGCAGGTATGGGGCGAGGATGGGCTTCAGCTGGAGCAGGCACCACGCCACCGCTGAACGGCCTGACGCGAGATCATGCCCTCTTCGCTTGGCACTCGGAAGCCCCCAACCAACGCAAGCTTCTGATTCTCAAAACGGCCCCTCCCGCCCCACCACACAACCATGGATGGCAAGACCCCACAGGATTTCCCGGGGTTCCAGGGGGTCATTCTCTAGTTTGCGGCCCTTTTCTTTTCCCGTTCACCGTTTGGGCTTTGAGTATTCGTCAATTCGTCAATTCAGGGTGGACTAGTAGGGTCCAGTTTCTTGAGAAGGACTTCTATTGAGTGCCATGTCCACCCCCTTGTGTTGCAAAGGCCTGCTGATAACAACAACGACAAGCTCACAAGCCTGTGAGCCACACGATCTGAGCTGAAGCGGCTTGCTGAGACCGATCCTGCGCTTATGGCAATCCTCTTCGGAGCTCCGGTTGTCTGCCTTGGGACATCCCCACTCCCACGTTCCCGCCTGTCGTCTGCACCATTGAGGTCACGAAAGCCTGTGGGTCCTCGATGGCCACTCGAAGTTGGTCCGTCTCGATACAGAGGAGGACGTTTTTCACGTCTTGCCAGCATGCAGGCCCAGCAAACCCGTCAAGGAGCGGCTCCAAGTGGGGCCGAAGCTTTGCGAGCAGCCAGCGCCGCCCTGCCTCGCCACCCATCGAGTCCAAGACGCCTCGGCAAGTGACAGCCTCGCAGACTGTGCATGGAACGAGCTAGAACGCAAAGACCCCATTCAAAGCGACCCAGGGCTGAGCCACGAACCCATAGGGTCTTTGGCAGCCTTCTTGATGTCGGCCACCGTCATGCCCTGAAAAACGGACTCCAAGTCCGCCCAGCAAACCCCCGGAGGCAGTTCAGGTTCCACAGCACTGCGGACTTGAGCCATGCCCCACGCCACTGCAAACTTCATTGCAGGGGGGCCACCACTATCCAAGACGGACTGCAGGAGTGCTTTGGGATTTGCTTGGACCAACTTCTTGAGATTCACGATGCTGAGTTGCCGGAGGGCCGCTTCTGCATCTTCACGCTGGATGGCAGCTGGCAAGAAGCTCTTCAGTGCTGGCCAGGATGCCGCCAGCGCCCACCGCTTCGCCAAAGGGCCATGCTGCACCAATTTGTCCAGGAGGCGCTCCGGATTGCTCAGTGCATCCTCAAGGTCCTTCAGCTCAAGCTTGTCCGCGCAGCTCTCCACCTTTGCAGCTTTCGGATCCGGCCCCCACTCCCCCACACCTCTCCCGTTCACGAGCCCCCCGTGCCTCGTGCCAGGCAATGGTCTTCGGCAGGTGGCTCTCGAGCACAGGCATGAGCCGCGCCAGAGCCAGGGGCTTCACCGTGCCAGCGGCTTTCTGAAGCAAGTCAAACAAAAACTTCTGCGGCTCCTGCGGGCTAGACGCGGCCGTGTGCCCTCTTGTGCTTCTCCTCTCCAGACAACCCCAGCTCTGAAGACCCCAACCCTTAAGACTCCAGCTCTCGCGACCCCACCTGGAAGGCAGCTTGAAGTTTCGTGGAATCAAGACGCTGCAGGACGAACTCGACGATCTCCCAGGTCAAGGCCACTTCCTTGCGAAAGGCTGGTGCCAGGGACATGCGGACCCCTCACTCGTCATGTCACCTGCACTCATAGTAGGAAGGCCTCACGTGTGGCCAGCTTTTTCAGCTTTCGTTCCACAAGCGGCCGCAAGGCTTTGATGATTGCTGAACGGACGGCGGCTTCCAGCTGCCTCTGAAACTCCTGAGAGCAGGCGGGCTACCTTAACTAACATCCTTAACCGCACAGGCTAAGCAAACTGCCTGCTTGAAGCCGCGTGGACTCTTCAGGGAAGCGAGGAGCACCTCCACATCCAGGGGCTCCAGCTCCTGCCAAGCGCTCGGAGATTCTATCACGGTGTCGCACATGTCTCCTGGGCTCTGAGAATGTTCTGACGTGGATTGCCTGCAGCACCTGTTCCCACGGAACCCTGGCTGGCAGCATCTTCAGCTCCGGCCGCAGCGTCTCCCCAACAGCACGGGTGACCTTGGAGGCACATTCCGCTGCACGAAGCTCTCTCCCTCTTTCCTGACTGAATCGTTTGTCCCAGCTTTCCATATCCCGTATGGGTGGGTTTAGTAGACTCCGGTGTTTCACAACCTCCACACCTGCCGGAGCATCTCCGCCTCCTCGTCCTCTGCCAAACACCGCTCCACGTCGAGGGGACTGCAGCCCAGCAGGGGCAAACCCAGTCTGAGGGCCTTGTCAGGGAGCGTTCTAAACATGACATGACTTCTTGCTTCTGGAAACTGAGCTGGAGAGAAGGACTGCCGCCTTGTGCTGAACAGCGCGCAGAAGGTCCGGCGACAGGTCCAGCAGCAGTCCCTTGCACGATGAAAGCAGACGAAGTACTGGCTGCAACTTCCTCTCAGACTTCTTCAGCTCCTGCAGGGTCTGGCGAAGCCAAGACTCACTTACTGAGCGTTGGACTCCTGTGTTTCCCAAACACACCTGCAAAAGGCGTCGACACTTCGGTTGGCTGAGTGCTTGCATCACTCGCTGAAGCTTCTGTATGTCCATCTGCTCGAAGGCCATTCCCTTCGACACTTCTGGGCCCAGCGGGGCGCAAACTGCACAGGCCACCTGCCGAACGCCCCCAAGCGCTTGTTGCTGCAAAGCCAACACAAGATTGGGCGCCAGATCCGCCAGCATCTGCTGGACATTGACAAATGTATCCACAAGCTTCCCACATCCTCAACTGCGCTTATTAACGATAAGCCAAGTCTACATGACTGCTTCTACAATATGGCGCCGCCCCCTCCCGACCCATGGCATACTACTTTCACCCATGACATATCCCAATGCCCCCATGCCAATTATCAACACAAGTGGCGATCCCACCCTGGCACGTCTCCCTGCAGGCTGGCTTTCAGTTCTTTCAGCTCCTGCAGGGGCTGGCAAGGAGAGCTGAATTGGATCCTACTACTTAGTTACTACTTTCTGTCCGGCCTGCAACAAGTATCCGAGTTGGCTCAGCGCTTGGTGCAGCTTTCGTGGATCGAGATCTGATTCTAGCAGAGCCTGCACTCCGTCAGAAACGTCAGCGTCCACGCCCAGGGTCTGGCAGGCGGCGCGAGCTAGCTGCCGAATGTTGCTCTGCACCCTGCGGCGCAAGCTCAACGCGAGGTCGGGCACCAAATCCGCCACTTTCCCATGGACGGCAGCGAAAATCTCAGCAATCATCTGAATGCCTCAGCTTTACCGAACAAACCCAGGCAGTCTGTGGAACTAAGGTTGCATGCTCATGCAGCCGTATCCGAGTATCCCACAGGACTGCAACGAGTTCTGTGACACAGAACCCCCCTTCACAAACAGCGATGAACCCCAAGAACAAGACTGTAGTCGGAACTTGAGAGGCCACGCCATGAACCAGCATGTCCAGAACACCGCGCAGCCATTTCGGAAACCGAAACGACATTCAGATCATTCAGCTTTGGAGATCTTTAGAGAAGTAAGTGTCCGCATGTGCCCAAACAAGCCCGTGCTAACTTCTTGCACACAACACGGCTGTCGGTGGCTGCAGCATGCGTACTCTCCGCACCTCGGGCTGGACCGGAAGATGAAGCCAAGCAGCGCTCGAAGTCCGTCAAGCCAGCCTGCATCTTCAACTTCCAGCCCTCTACCTCCTGCAGGGGCTGGGCAGACGGAGCACATTCGACACTGCAACTGCCCGGACCTTCCAGAAATCCGGCTGGCGGAGTGCCCGCGCGATCTGGCAGAGCTGCTGAAAGTCCAGATCCACGTCGAAGAAAGGTTCCACTCCATTCCACACTTTAGCATCCAACAGCTCACACGTGGTGCGGGCAAGCTGCTTGGCAGCATGTCGAACTTGCTGTTGTATTGCCACGTCTAGATTGGGTGCCAAATCCACTAACAGCTCATGGCCTCTCTCCAGTGTAGTCAAGACTTTGTCAATGCCTTAGATGCGTTGGATGGAACCCTGAGGGGGAAAAGTGTGTGTTGGTGTGTTGGTGTGTTGGTGTGTTGGTGTGTTGGTGTGTTGGTGTGTTGGTGTGTTGGTGTGTTGGTGTGTTGGTGTGTTGGTGTGTTGGTGTGTTGGTGTGTTGGTGTGTTGGTGTGTTGGTGTGTTGGTGTGTTGGTGTGTTGGTGTGTTGGTGTGTTGGTGTGTTGGTGTGTTGGTGTGTTGGTGTGTTGGTGTGTTGGTGTGTTGGTGTGTGCGCAACGCTGTATAGTAGAGCACGTGTGTGGAAAAGCGAACCTGGAGTCATTCCAGCCCGGAGTGTTCCTGTCAAGGTTTGAGAGCTGGCATCTGAAGAGCATGACTTTAAAAAAAACTGGCAGTGAACCTCCGACGAAACTCCAGTAACAGTTTTGAAGTGCGGACCTTCTCTGATGGGTCTGTATGCAAGTGCGATTGCGGCGTTCGATGGGGTGAGTTTGTTTATGTTTCGTTGGTGACCGTTCCGTTGCTACTAAGGTGGGGGTCCGAGTCTGTTTCGCTCCGGCTTGATGTTTGAGTCTGCTGTTATACCAGAGAGTCACCAATGATTAACCCTCGTGGTTTCAACAAGTGTGTGTGTGTGTGTGTGTGAACTCACCTGGACATCGTGACGTTGGCATGGAAACATATTCTAATACAGTGCAGGGGGCACGCGGGCTCCAACCAGACCGGTGCTAGCAAAGACACTGGCTGGATGCCTGTGATGACCAGTGGGACGCTACTGGACGGGCCTGGACGGGTTTTCAAAGTCGGTTTTCCGAAACTGGAGTTTGAAAGTCGGGCTCTCAGACAGCTACAACTTTGGACATCAGCTGACCGTACACAAGTAGAGATGGCACAGTCTTGTGCAGTCGTAGTCTGTTGCATGAGTTATTGCCCCAAGCCAACTCTGTGCGTGTGTGCACGCAAAAATCTGTTCATGACCCTATATAAATACCATCGATGCTTGCTGCTCACGACACAGCTGGGCGAGGCTCCCTTGCCCATTTGGAATCATGAACTCGTAAGTACGCATCCAAGACCCAGCAACAATGTTGCTAATGCCAAGCCACGTGAGAAGTCCAAGCACTTTTGGCAGGAAAATGCATCTGTCATGGCAAGACGCAGCTCGCGAAATCGCAGGTCGGTAATGACCCTCACGATGGTGAAGGCATCTATCTCTTTCAAGGCCTTGCGTTTGAGCTGATGCCATACATGCCGAAAGCAGCGACAACCACGCTAGCTATAGAGGCGCCCAGCTGCGCCTCGATCAACTTGGCATCCAGACTGCCTGTCATTTCTTCTATCCACTGGTCTTTGACACCACGCATCCACTCCAGGGTTGCCTCAGATCAGGGCAACTCAAGCAGCACGAATTCAATGGAGGGAGGTGTCACCAAGCTGCCCTGGAGCCAGTGGCGAATCCATCAAGGCACTCCTGGATCTCTGCCTTGAGGTCAGATGGTATCTGGGGCTGTCCTCCGGTACGGCAGTTCGTAGACCTTAACAGTTAACACGAAGTACGCAAGCTCTTGGGGTGGTTGCAAGGAGTTCATGGACAATTCTCACTGGTCCCTCAAGGCTGAAAAGAGACGTGACTCGTACCTGGGAATACAGCACCGCTCCTGTTTTGAAAGCACCGTGCGCTGAATGCCTTTGTATTGAGCATGCCTACGAGCGCAAGATGTACTGAAGCAGATACCTTCCTGTGCCCCCAGCTCCCATTCCTGACTGGAAACAGTTTCAGCTTTTGGCCAGCTTTCACCAGTTTGAACACATCAGAACAAGCAGCATCTGGTAATCCCGGTAATAGTCGCTCTGCTGGTGGGATCGTTACGAGATTACCATACCCTTACCATTTCCCTCTCACCGTTTCCTGCGGTCCTGGCTTCTGCAGCAGGAAGGCCAGAAGCACTGGGATGGCGCCACTGATGATGGTGTCCGCCAAGGCCTTCACTCAGCAGACCCGAAAAAGTGCAGATCACCGAACGGTGGGGAGCACGGGCGTACTACTCCAGCTGCTACTCTAACTCAAGGCACACGTGCTCCGAACTGGCCAAAGGCAGCAGAGTTCAGGCATCACACGTCCGCATGCTTCTTGAACAAACAAACCCCCGCTCACTCCGAACAGTTGGCACAGTGGGATATGCTAGCAGCATGCACACGTACTCTAGCTCGATCCCCACACGCTCCGGACGTGCGCAAAGAAATAGCTCGTTCGAGTGCGCTTCGACCAGAGCCCATGGGGAACACATCTCTGCATTCCATGATTTATACTAGTAGCTCAATAAGCACGATCTGCAGCCTGTGCGAAGTGGGGACGCAGGGAGTGCACGCATGTGCCCAAATTAACGCGGTGCGCAGGCAAGGAGCTGGGCATGAGCAGGTGCCGGTGGTGCTACTCAGTGCGTGCTGCGAACAGTGTTCTGGGAGCACTCACCTTGACTCTGACTCATCCGCACGCACTTCGAACCTCTCGCCGGAGAGCAACGTAATTTAGGTTGTCATATAACTACTCTTGAGCTGAAGAGCATTCCATGACCACTTCAAGAACGCGATGCTGCTGGGGGTCTTCTGCTTTTGAGAGCACAGCGGCGGGAAAGCAATGCTTTATTTCTGCAATGCCCACCAACCCCGACAGTTCTCGGAGGCTGCGTGATCAGGGAAGCCTACAGTGGCAAACAACGGCTGATTAGACTGCAGCTGCCTGGACTGGATACAGGTTCGCAAGGACCAAGAGGAGCACGAAAACAGTGGCGAACATGGGCAACACGAAGACCTCGCACCAGTGCTAGTGCTCCCTGATGCATCTTGCGATTTCCTGCACTTCCAGCTCTGGCCTTGAAGCGGCTGATGAGATTCTCTTGGCTCAGACCAAGTGCCCGCAGAATGGACAAGAGCAAATGCTCGCGCACGAGCCTCGGTGCAAGAACGCGCAACTCCACAAGGCAAATTGCCCGTCGAGCAATGCTTAAGGCTCATCTCTGACATGTGCTTGGAATTACGTACACTGGCAAGGGGCCCAACTTACGGCGCAGAATGCACGCCTGTTCCTGCCTGAAGCTCTAGGCTCTAGGTCTGATCAATCTTGTAATGGCTTGAGAGACAAGTTGTCGAGTGCGGGATGCCTGCGCGGGAAAGCTCGACACGAATCGGAAGGCGGGAGGGGCTCTGTTTAGCAGAGGCTCTCCAGCAGCTTTAGAAAGCTCGGCAAGGTGAGCTGTGTGGATCCGGCGGCCGGCAGGCTTTCCACCAGTAGGCGCATCGTTTCGCGGTTCACAACAGGATCAAAGAACCTGACATTCTGGCAGCAGACTGCAACTTCGCTTCGCAAGCTCTGCACACACCCGCCTGAACACCATTTGCAGCGAAACGTATTCTCCGTCTCCGCCCGCTGCGAGCACCTGGAAGATGTCGGCGTCGCTGCAGGTGGCCTGTAGGATGCGCTCAAAGCTACCGGAGACCTCAGTCTGCTTGCATCTGCATGACCATCGTTTTCCACCGAGGTTCTGCAACTCTTGTAAGATATGAAGCAACTGAGGGAGATGCAACTGCTGACATAGGCAGTCTGCCTAGGGAAAGTCGCTTGGCTAAGCAGGCCCACATCGGCTTCAAGCACGCTTCGGCCAACTTCTGCACCTCCACTGCGAAAGCTCGTCTCCACCGCCGCAGGGACATCAGCCGAGCCCCGATGCCGAGGATGAAGCTGAAAACAGTGGACGCGAGTGGCACGAAGCGTTTCGGCTGTACCACCACCCCGAAGACAAGCCAGCATAACATCGTGACAAAACAGATCCAGAGGACAACATAGAGCTGCAGAAATCCCAACCACGCCACAACCTTCATCAGAAAGTTGAGGGTTTTGCCCACACAGCGTTTTTTTGCTGTGCGAGTCTTCACGCTGCTCGCTTTGTCAGGCCTCAACAGATCATCACAAACGGAGACAAGCGTGATTGGCAGCTTCTCCGTGCAGTAAGCGTGCACAATGGAGCCGAGGAGGAGCACAGCCCAGGCTGAGCAGCTCACGGTAAGGACCTCCAGGGATCACGTGTGCTACGGCTGTGACGCATTCGGCGAATCCTGTGAGACTCGTTCAAGAGCCTTTATGCTACAACCTGCTACAATCATGGGTAACCTCTACCGTCTCTACTCACTCTGTGGCGAGGCACCGGGCTTGTCCTCAGCAGCACGCTCGACAGCTGTGGGAAACGCACGTTGAAGTGGGACATGGTGAGGCCATCCATGGGAGAGCGGCCCAGGAACGGTGCTGCGGAGACCTCAGAAATGCAGAGCAGAGCCAAAGGCCAGAATGCCATCAGGATGAGCAGAACGATGTGCAGCGAGACCGTGGCTGCATCAATGAGGGGCCAACCGGGCCGCAGAACAGGAACCGGTGGTGATTTGTCGTAGGACGTCACATCGAGCGCTTGGAAGGCCGCCTCTTCCATGGCAGCGACATTCACCAGCAGCGGGCGGAGCACATCAGATGATACGAACTGCAGACCTCCTGATGGCTCTCCGTCCTGGGACTTGGCCGGCAAGACAGAAATGCCGAGGTGTCGGAAGACCGCCAGCACGGCTGGATCGAAAAAATCCGGCTTCTGCACCGCCTCGAGACGCGTGGCATAGTGGTAGAGCTGGGCAGCGGCTTGCAAGCGCTCGACATCCTGTGCTTGCAGGACTTGGATAAAGGTCTGTCGCTCCCGGAAGGCAGAGAGCCAATTGCGTAAGGCCTCCCAGGAACGCAGACTGCAGCACCTTGCCAGGTGGGTGACCAGCCACCACTTCCGCCAGTTTTTCCAAGAGTCCCAGCTGTGGTGCCGCCTGATACGTGCAGGCAGCTTCCATGTCCAGAGCTTGCAGCCTTGGTGGATGTCGCTATGGCACCGGACGATGCAATGCGGCTGGGCCAGCAGCTCTGCCAAAGAAGGCCTCGTGGAGGTAACGATGAATGCGACTGCCGCAGACACCAGGGTCCAAGGTGAGGGCAGGACCAAAAGAGCGCGCCACTCCCACGCCATCTCTGCGACGAACGGATCACAGGTGGCCGGGGCGAGGAGCCCCTGCAAGCTGCGCACAAAGTCTGCGAAACATGGCATTTCCACTGGGAAAGCCTCACACGCTTGCTGCAGTGCAGCTTCCCCGAGCCGATGGACTAACCCGTGGTTGTCACTGGCGATCAGTGCATGGACGCTCCCATCCAGTAAGGCCAGCGCACCAGCTGCTGCTCGTCGCACACGCCAACCCCTGTCTCTGAGAGCCCTCTGCAGGTCACCTACTGCAGGCTCTGCTGCTGCACCTAACCTGCCCAATGCCTCAGCTGCTGCTCCTCGCACGCCCTCATCCCCGTCTCTGAGAGCCCTCTGCAGGTCACCTACTGCAGGCTCTGCTGCTGCACCTAACCTGCCCAATGCCTCAGCTGCTGCTCGTCGCACGTCTTTATCCCGGTCTCTGAGGGCCGTCTGCAGGTCACCTACTGCAGGCTCTGCTGCTGCACCTAACCTGCCCAATGCCTCAGCTGCTGCTCGTCGCACGTCCGCATCCCAGTGTCTGAGGGCCGTCTGCAGGTCACCTACTGCAGCTGCTGCACCTAACCTGCCCAATGCCTCAGCTGCTGCTCGTCGCGCGTCCGCATCCCAGTCTCTGAGGGCCGTCTGCAGGTCACCTACTGCAGGCTCTGCTGCTGCACCTAAGCTGCCCAATGCCTCAGCTGCTGCTCGTCGCACACGCCAACCCCCATCTCTGAGAACCATCTGCAGGTCACCTACTGCAGGCTCTGCTGCTGCACCTAACCTGCCCAATGCCTCAGCTGCTGCTCCTCGCATGCCCTCATCCCCGTCTCTGAGAGCCCTCAGCAGGTCACCTATTGCAGGCTCTGCTGCTGCACCTAACCTGCCCAATGCCTCAGCTGCTGCTCCTCGCACGCCCTCATCCCCGTCTCTGAGAGCCCTCAGCAGGTCACCTACTGCAGGCTTTGCTGCTGCACCTAACCTGCCCAATGCCGCAGCTGCTGCTCCTCGCACGCCCTCATCCCCGTCTCTGAGAGCCCTCTGCAGGTCACCTACTGCAGGCGCTGCTGCTGCACCTAAACTGCCCAATGCCTCAGCTGCTGCTCGTCGCACGTCTTTATCCCGGTCTCTGAGGGCCGTCTGCAGGTGACCTACTGCAGCTAACCTGCCCATTGCACCTACTGCAAACTCTGATGCTGCACCTAACCTGCCCAATGCCTCAGCTGCTGCTCGTCGCACACGCCAACCCCCATCTCTGAGAACCATCTGCAGGTCACCTACTGCAGGCTCTGCTGCTGCACCTAATCTGCCCAATGCCTCAGCTGCTGCTCGTCGCACGTCTTTATCCCGGTCTCTGAGGGCCGTCTGCAGGTGACCTACTGCAGCTAACGTGAACAATGCCACAGCTGCTGCTCCTCGCACGCCCTCATCCCCGTCTCTGAAAGCCCTCTGCAGGTCACCTACTGCAGGCTCTGCTGCTGCACCTAACCTGCCCAATGCCTCAGCTGCTGCTCGTCGCACGTCTTTATCCCGGTCTCTGAGGGCCGTCTGCAGGTGACCTACTGCAGCTAACCTGCCCAATGCCTCAGCTGCTGCTCGTCGCACGTCTTTATCCCCGTCTCTGAGAGCCCTCTGCAGGTCACCTACTGCAGGCTCTGCTGCTGCACCTAACCTGCCCAATGCCTCAGCTGCTGCTCGTCGCGCGTCCGCATCCCAGTCTCTGAGGGCCGTCTGCAGGTCACCTACTGCAGGCTCTGCTGCTGCACCTAAGCTGCCCAATGCCTCAGCTGCTGCTCCTCGCACGTCTTTATCCCGGTCTCTGAGGGCCGTCTGCAGGTCACCTGCTGCAGGCTCTGCTGCTGCACCTAACCTGCCCAATGCCTCAGCTGCTGCTCGTCGCACGTCTTTATCCCGGTCTCTGAGGGCCGTCTGCAGGTCACCTACTGCAGGCTCTGCTGCTGCACCTAACCTGCCCAATGCCTCAGCTGCTGCTCGTCGCACGTCCGCATCCCAGTGTCTGAGGGCCGTCTGCAGGTCACCTACTGCAGCTGCTGCACCTAACCTGCCCAATGCCTCAGCTGCTGCTCGTCGCGCGTCCGCATCCCAGTCTCTGAGGGCCGTCTGCAGGTCACCTACTGCAGGCTCTGCTGCTGCACCTAAGCTGCCCAATGCCTCAGCTGCTGCTCCTCGCACGTCTTTATCCCGGTCTCTGAGGGCCGTCTGCAGGTCACCTGCTGCAGGCTCTGCTGCTGCACCTAACCTGCCCAATGCCTCAGCTGCTGCTCGTCGCACGTCTTTATCCCGGTCTCTGAGGGCCGTCTGCAGGTCACCTACTGCAGGCTCTGCTGCTGCACCTAAACTGGCCAGTGCCTCAACTGCTTCTATTCGTGTCCCGACGTTGCGGCTGAGGGTGGCCATCTGCACATGCAGCAGTGGGGGAGAGCCTGCTGCACCTTCACCTTCTAGTGCTAAGGCTAGTGCTCTTCGCACAGGCACATGTTCATCTCCAATCGTCAGGGACGCCGCCACTGCAACTGAGTATACTGGGTATGCAGATCCCACCTCTGATGCTGCCTCTATCACAGCAGTGGCCCATTCTAGAGCCTTAACTGTTTGCGCAATACAAGCTATTTCTATGAGAGCCCTTGCAAGCTCTGCAGTGAGAAAGTGCAGCTCTTCATTCCCCGCCGTAAGGATTCTGGCTAACGGGCCATCGTTTGCTGCAACTATTCTCGGATGCAGTTGATGAATCAATGTTGCAACTAGCACCCTCATGGAGATTGATTTCGGGAATGCTGAGGTCCTTCGCCGAGCTAGATTCCGCAAGGTGCGCCCAAATGTTGGCCGCATGCGCTGCTGCATGTAGATAAGGCCCCCGCAAGTGGCAAATGCAGATAGGATCCCGAGGAACGCTGTCAAGCACGATGCGACAATAAGCTTCGTGGCATCTGAGGACTGTTGGCCTAAATCCTGACCATCATAGAGCAACCGACTCCCCTCCGCCTGCCTGGCAGCGTCACCTCCAAAAAAACGTAAAACAGGTCTGGATGCCACAATTTGTGAGATGGCACGGGCCGTGCTCGCGGCAGCATCGACACCCCCTTCGCAACTGTCAACTCTGATGAAGATCTTTGCTGGTCGGCCGGGAAACAATCCAAGAGAAGCCGCTGACATCAGCCACGGGGAGATGCCTGCCAAAGAGCTGAGCTCAAACAAGCGTCGTCTCAATCATGGAAACCAGAATTCGTATGCTTCCAGCATTCCCACTCTGCAACATGCTTGTTCGCTACGTGGGCTTGAAGGAAGATATACTCTGCACACCACTACAAAAACTGCAGTCATTTGAGGCACAATGGGGGCAGGTTGAGGGTAAGCACTCGTAGGCTGGTCACTCTGTGGGGTTTTGAGCAATACCGCGGGGTGGGCACTCCAAGACAAACTTGGGCTCTCCGGGCAGACACTCGGTTGGGTCGGGGTTGGGCACCCTGGAAACTCCAGGGTTGGCGAAAATGGGTCACGGGAAGAGACAATGTCATCTCGGAATCCAAGAACCCCACATTGATGGTGGGAAAGAACAAGTCTGAAGAGCAAGCCTGAAGAGCAAGCGCCACGACACAGCAAAGCGCAAGCAGATACAGCAACTTGACAAAGCTGAGCCTAAGAATTCGCTGGAAGGCAGGAGGACAAAGCGCTGCTCCAGGGCCGGCTTGACGAAACGAGTGTGCCGCGCACTGCCCTTTACCAGCACGATGTAATTGTAATCCTCAGCAGCTGCCTCCAGCTCAACAACACTCTCGTTGTGCAACACGATCTGCCTACTATTCTCTGGAAGGAGCGGCGCTGATGTGTTGCGAAGGCTCAACTTGCCTCCGATGTCCAGCTCCACTGTCCAATTTGTGCTGTTTAGATCGGAGGCCTGAACTCCGATCAAGCAAAGGGCGTCTGCCCGCGCTTGCACAGCGTGCTGTATGTCCAGGGAGACATCCGCATCTCCATCAAGTAGCTTGATGGCAATGGAAGGCAACTCGATCAACTCCAAGCTGCCCAGCACAAGGTTGGACCATAGGTGGCCCATGGCACTTGAGAAGTTGAACTTGTCCGAGATCCTCACGTTGGTCACTGCATCCATGTACCCATTGGCAGTCACATCCAAACGGGCCTGGGAAGCTGCAACCCGTGAATCATATCGGAGGGTGGTAGTAGGGGTGCAGGAAGTACTACCGGTAGTAGCTACATGCACAGAAAACCAAGCATGAACAAGCGAAATCACGCAAGCACAGGCAAGAACCACAAACCTCGGGGCTGAGCATCTCCCTCGTTCGCGAAACTCAGGCGCCGACAAAACTGCCCTGCGCATGTAAAGTGCACTCACCATGGCATTCAACGTTAACTGTGCTGTTTGGTAGCATGAGCAGCCAGAGCTCGCAGGCTTCCAAGACTGTAGCGGACGTTGACACGTTGCCGGCGCTCATAGCAGCTGCTGCTCCTTCACTCCAAATTTTCAACTGGCCCTGCCCCGCGCTACCTGAAAACCAAGCTGGTTCTGCAGTAAACTGCTGACAGTCGTTGCAGTCAGTGCTCTTCACAAAGAGGGCACAGGAGTCAGCCCTGATGGACATGTCCAAGCCTGGATCGAATTTTCTCTCGGTGTACGCACCTGTGTTGATGGCAAGCAGGTCGGGAAGGAACCCCAAAACGGCTGCTGATCCCACGGCGAGAACCAACAGAAGAAGCCGAATGATGCATCGAACAGTTCGAGCGGAGGCCGGACAGGACAGCAGCCTCTCTGAGCGACTTGTGCTCCAGAGGAACAGAGCAGCATGCCCAGCCAGAAGTAAGCCCGTGCCTGTCAAATCTTGCTCATCCGAAATCTCATACGTCAACAGGGAGCCAGCACCATTGATGACAGCAGAAAAAAGCGCAACTTGACGAAGGTGGCTGAGCCCCATGTGGGAGCTGATGCTCAGTGCCTGACTAAGAAGCGCTAGCATGAGGGCGCCCACAGTCAGTGCAATCAGTCGCAACCTGGTGTTGCCAAAGGCTTCGCTTTGAATGGCCATGGCGACAGCGAGGAGCTTCACAGGCCGCTCGAGAAGAAGGAACCAGCCGTGAGTGCTAAGCCTCGCTGGTCTGAACTCCTCCCCGAGATGTATGCGCTGCGCACCAAGCTCAATTGTCAGTCCCATCAGAAATCCGGCTGGCAGCACAGCCACCAGGACCAAGCTTGCAGCCCAAGCCATCGCAGAATGGACTCCGGTCCAACACTGCAGCTCCTGGTTCCCGGCCCAGACCATGCCAAGCTCATCCTGCTTGCAAACAAAGACTTCCAGGTTGGCTTGCGTGTAGCCGATGAGAGTGGAAGTAACAAAGAGCGCGACTTTGAGGTCTGCAGGGGCTTCACCAGGCTCTTGCATCATCCACGAGAGTCCAAGGTCACTTATCTTGCTCTGGATGCGTTCCGAATCATTTGCTGCTTCTTCTTTCTTCTTGTTTGGGTCAGGATTATGATCATGCCCTTCGCCTATCCATATGGCGACAAGCCGTGGCAGGAGCATCAGCGCAGTAAGCCTGACCGATGCAAACAAAACGCAGCAAAATAAAAGGACATTGGCCAAAAGAAAACCTGCCACTTGCACAGCCTCAGCTGGCACGAAGGGCAAGGCAAGCCGTCCTAAGGCGAAAAAAGCGTTCAACAGATCCTTCACGGCTGCCGGGAGCAGTAGCGAAGGAACGTTGAAGGCAAGAGCTGACAGCTGATACCAGTCTGCCAAGGCGGCAAACAGGTGCCATCCCCAGAGAGGGTCCTGCTCGGCCGAGGCCGTCTCCAACCTGTGAAGGTCTTCATCGAGCTGGGCCACGGTAAAGGACTCATCTGAACCTGGAGGATAGTTGTTGCTGAGTATGATTGTCCAGACTGTCAGGATGATGGAAGCAATGAAGACCAGGTTCGCTGCCAGAACTGCCGCCGCACTCATCGGCCCAAGCCAGATGCAGGTGAGGAAGGGCCATGCCACGATCAGAAGACAAAGGCAACCCACTGCCACTGCTCTGCAAATTCGGCGGTAGCGCACACGACCATGCATGTTTTTCGAGCCAGCATTTACAACTATAGCCAGAATGCCAAAACCCAAGGGAAGAACCACCGGGGATGCTCCAGCAAGAACAAGGCCCAGAGCCAAGCTTACGACCACTGCTCCCAAGAAAAGGAGCGCCAGTGCAGACAGTCGGCAAAGATGCTGCAGGCATATTGCCATGACGGTTGGCATGACCCTTGCGGGGGTTGCTTAGTACGTCACAGTTCACCTGGATATGTCTATGCTGTGGAAGGGATGTTCAGGAGGATACTTGACCTGCAGCAGGACCACGACAATTTTCGACTAGACTAATTACAGCCGTTTGAGCCCAGCGCATGCAAAGAGGTGGAAGCAACCCAAGTCCATGTTAGTGTTGAGAGCTTGGGGTTTAGGGTTGAGGATCAATCCCAACAGCTTCTTCGGGTTCCTGTCTTGGTGACTCGTCCGCATAAGCTGAGAATTTCTGCAGGAAACGCCTTATGAGATTTTAAGAAATGTTGAAGGCGAAGGGTCCTCGTTTGATGCTGCACAGAGAGGCTGCCTCGCATGGTGCAGATCCTTCTATGTTGACATTGAAAACTTCAAGAAACTCTGAGGCCCAACGACAGCCTGAATCAACCTGCCTATGGAATGTCACTGCGTTTAGAGTTTGCTCTCTCCCCCGGAACTTCCACCCTTACTACAAGACAAACGATGCCGTACATATCTGCACTACCTACATGGTACAGCTCCTCAGGTATCAATCAATAGCGCTTGGCTGTATTTCAACATGGCGCTGGCACGTCAGCTTTTTGTTTCAGGGGTCTTCTGTTGATGGTTTGAAAAAAGGTCGCCTCACAACTGTACCACTGCAGATGAGACCATCCATTGCCTGAATCCTCGCGCTCTTGGGCAAAAATTGCAGATGAGCTGATCGGATTGCAATAACCATCACAAGATCTTGAGAATGCGGAAGCATATCATAATGTCAGTGCTGGCTCAAATTGCATAGCGTACGACAGGCCTGCTTGCGATGGACGATCTGCATTGGTGGAGCTCCCGTGTGACGTGGATGCCCGCTCCATCGGTTCATAAACCCTTTCACGAGTCCACCTCACTCGGACCCCCTCTGCATTCCACCCCACCACCTCTCCGCAGGCCTTCATACCTCCATCACTCCACTGTTGTGCCCTTCTCCTTCCACTCCCCCAGCAGAACTCCGCAGCCGGGCAACTCATGGAACTTCAGAGATTCTATGAAAGCTCCTGAGTTCTGATTGGGCTGCAGCTCGTTTTGTATCTTGTCCCTCAAGCCCACTCCGCCCACTTAACCATTCGGGGTTTCCGAAAGTAGGGGTGCCCTTTTTGGGCACGTTCCATAACAAAGGACTGTAGTATTTGGGGGTATGTTAGGGTACCCCTCCTATATTGGGAAATGCCCATTTGGGCTCAATACTCAGATTCGGCTTCGACCACGCACGGCCGCTTCCCGGAATCCATCCACCCGCTAAGGCTGCCAAACTTGCCGCTGGCCCAAAGCCTCAACGTATCTCAACGTTTTCATCACGCGTACCATTCGAACTAGAACGCAATGGAGAAAGCGTTCAACTGTTCAACGCATGGCCAGGTGCCAGTTGCGGCAGAAAGCGCGCGCTGTTGCGTGCAGAATCACTCCAAGGTTTGATCTCAGCAATATGTCCGGAAAGGGTCCGAGAGTCCTTCCGGTTTAGGGTTGGAGGTGTCGGTCAAGCAGCGATTTGGGCTACTTAAGCTTGCCCGTCAAGTTGAGAGGAAACAACACCTTTGCAGCCTGAACTCCAAAACCGCCTGGAACCCCATACACTTCAATCCCCCGCTGCCGCATTAGCTCGCAGCAAGAGGGCTCAGCCAGTCGGTCTCGCAGGGTAAAGGGGGACGGAGGAGGTGTGGTCGTGGAAAGTGATTGGGCACTGTGGAATGGCCCGGACGGTGGGCTTTTTTGGACGGGCTGGATTACATGAAGTGTTTGTTTTGGTTGCAGCTTGAGTAACGTTGGATTCAACCTGGCTACCTTCGCCCTGGCAACCGCAAACTCCGAGGGAGCAAATGATTTGCTGGGTGGGAGCGGGGCAGGTATAGAGCGGGGGCGAGGTGCCTAGAGGCTCGCTCGTTTGCCTGGCCGTGCTTTGCGTTCCCCGTCACAAGGCAAGTGCCGCGTTGCGCCGCCTCGTTTGCCTCCCAGGGAGAGGTGTCGGCGGGTGGCGCACCATCATCGAGGGTGAGCCATGCTTGGGCGCAAGGGTCGGCGTGCCTGCGGGGGCTGCTCCCTTACTCCTGGGAGGGCCAGGCGCACTGTGATCTTGGTGCCATATATAGCTGGCCTCCACAGCCCTCAAGGGGCAGGGGGGTCCCGCGACTCCATCGGCAACGCAGGCTGGGTGTTCATAAGGGACATCTTCTTGGAGGTCCGGCTTACGGTTTGGTTCGAATGCAGGCACGTGTCCCCAAAGCTCTGTAAGATATTGATGAGCACCATGTTGCGGCTGCACCTTCTGATACGGTGCAAGAGGGAAAGGTGAAGGGCCGATGCAGGTCAACATTGGCCAAAACCAAGATTCCGGCAGTGTTGCAAGGAATCCCCTGTCGCCATTTGACTCACCGCATCCTATAATACTCAAGCAGATGACGGATATCCTGGAAGTCTTGTGGACCCACAGGCACTTTCATGAGCCTGAAACGGTCAAAAATCACCGCAGTCGCAGGGTGTATCGGCCAAGAGGGACGGTGCGGAGGATCACCAGACCGATATGAGCGCGCGGAAGCCCTCAAAGAAGCAGAAGTGATGATGCAGCTGGCGGGCCTTCAGGCACGCACCTCACTGCCGTGTGGTAGCACCTGCGGCAGTTGAACCGAGCAGTGACTCACCCCCACGTAGACGTAGCACCGCTTCCCATAAGGCACTGCTCGAATCATCGGAACTGCCTTCAGCTGCACAACGGGGGCCACTCTGGCAGTTTCCCCCATCCTTCCCGCGGAAGGTGACGAAACCGTCGCTACGATGGTCGGGCCACAGAACACGGCCCAACAGCTCTCCAATTGGTTGGTAACTACCAAGCCTATGAGGACATGTCGGAGGGCGTCAAGGGCCAGCTCAGCATGGACATCAAATTCACACTAACGCCTTTTCTCTACGCACATCTTTCAGCGAAACTGGGTATTTGCCCACTCCCAGGACCTTGTGCGCCTCCGTGACAGAGCGTAGCTCAAGGCTTTTATCGGTCCGATGGCGGATCTCTGCCGATGAGGGCTTGTTGATGAGGCAGGACTCACACGGTAGAATGACAACACAGGTTCGCTCACGGTCTCCCCGTAATACCGGTGCTGCGCACAGTGCAGCGAAGCAGTTTATGTACAGCCGCCAAGGCTGCTTTAACGGTCTGCAGTCAACCGAGCGGCTACTACCGGCCTGTTCTGCAGAGTTTCCAAGCACAAGGGCTTGTCAAGAGTTTTCCAAATGTTTCCTAAGGTTTCTTCAGGGTTTGTCAAAGTTTGCCAAAAATCTCTGAGTGCTTTCCAAAAAATCTTGAAGATTTCTTAAAAGGTTTCCTGACGGCTTCCTGCAAATTCGCAAGGGTTTGAGGGTTTCTCCAGGGAATCCCTAGGATTTCGCAAGGACTTCGCACAGGTTTCCGCAGGTTTCGCAAGGGTTTCCGACGGGTTTGGTGAATTTGTTGAAGGTTTTCCAGAGGGTTTCCGGTTTCGTGCAGATTTCGCAAGGCATGCCAAGATACTGCCAAAAGTTTTCTCAGATTTTCTTGAAGGTTCTTCATTCTTGATCTGCGAATAAAAAATCCTGCATTAGACGGAGAGTGTTCTCGTCCGTGGTCGGCAAGGCACGCCTCAAATCCAATGGTGGGAGTGACACCGGCATCACCAGAACACGCAAGCGCCCAACACCGACAAACACCCACACTCTACGCCCAACAACATCCTAGACAACACGCTCCTGCTCTGTACCCAGGACGACCACCAACCGGATGCCTTCAGGCACCAGGCCCCTTACTCACTAACGCAGCTGAATGGCAGACGAGTCAAAGTCTGCAAGCTGAGCACTCTGCTCTGGAACATGATAAGAGTCAGTCGCCTGCTGTCCTCCCCGATTGGAGTGGAGGCACTGACCCAATGCAGATCGCACGGGGATGGCCGAGGTGGTGAGAACAGAAGGGCACCATTGAAACGTTTCAAAGCGAAACTTGCTCCACGCAACAAGTTCAACTCCAATATCACTCAAGCCACCGCATATGCATTTCTTTTGGAAATCTGTTGGCAAATAAAAAAAGCAATTTAGCCAGAGAAGGTGTCAGATTCGAGATCCGTTGGACATGTTGCGTTGTCTCTTTCATGCAAGTGACCGCCTGCGCCTTTTTGGTTCTCTCAGAATTCCAAGAGGGAGGGGGAATCCCTGGAAGGTCAACGTTACGAAGGCAACTAACAACCATGTTTCCATGCCAGTCGGTGCAAGTGTAGCGTCGATCGGTTCCCTGACCAATCAGCATGCGAACACCTCTAAAGTGTGTTCGCTGGGTTAGCTAGCTCGCAACTCCTGGATCTTGGCAGCCAACAGCTTAGGACTCAGGAGCAAATTTCTCGGCCCACGATGCCTGAGAGGAAATGCTTGGATGTCGTTTTTCGACTCAAAGTTTGGAGTTTGGGTTTTGGGGTTTTGGGGTTTAGGGTCAGGTTTTTTGGGTTTGCTGACAAGAGGCGGACATGCTGGATGTGGGGCATGGGGTGGATTTGCTGCGAGGGCGCAAACTGCTGCGTTCTTGGAGATGGAGAGTAGACTTACACTCCTTCTCATTCGGTGCCTTCCCACAGAACTCAAACAGCCCGTTCTGGAGAACATGAATCAGCAGACCATACAAGTTTGGAGCTCCTAGAGGGGATCCTCGAAAGCAGCAGCCTGGAGGACCGCAGGAAATAAAATCCCTGCAGGGGTTCATTCGACATATGGACTCCGCACCAACAGCTAGAGACTTAGGAATCCTTGAGGAGGTAGAAGCTGGCACGCGCAAGAGCAGGTACTCTGGGGTTGCCTGGAATAGCCTCTATGAGGAGCTGCAGGCGTTGAGTTCCTTGGTGAAAACGTTGGAACGCCGCAGTGACACATTCCGCACAGCTGGGCTTGCTACGAACTCGTCCGGAAATCATACGACCTACGGA